CCCCTGGTGTTGCGTCGAGGTTTCGTGTCTGGGGTTGCTTGGCTCTTGTCCGCGACACTTCCGCGGACAAGCTCTCGCCTCGCGCCGTTCCCTGTGTCTTCCTTGGTTTCCCTGAGGACTCCTCTGACTTCACCTTTTACCACCCTCCCTCTCACCGGTTCTTTGACTCCCGTGATGTCCGTTTCGAGGAGTCCACCCCCTTCTACGTCAGGTACCCCAGTCGAGGTCTCTCGGTTCCTCCTCCCCCTCTCTTCCTGACTTCCGCTCCCCCTCCTGCTCCCCCGGTGCAGCCTCCCCCCCCTGGTCCCGCCCCGTCAGGTGTGTCCCAGGCTACCCCTACCCCCTCGGTAGCCCCTCAGGTGCGGCCTCCTTCCCCGCAGTCCTCCTCGCAGCCCGCGGCAGTCCCTGCGGGAGCCGGTGCTCGTGGAGAGAGCCCTATAGGTGCTAGCTCTGGGGGTGCTGGAGTTGGAGCTGAGCCCGTGGTTGCAGGAGACTCTTGTCTTCCGGGAGCTGGTGTTGGTTTTGCTGACTTTGGGGGTGCTACGTCTGGGGGTGCGGGTGCACCCTCTTCGGGTCCTGGTGAGCCTGGTCGTGTTGCTGTTGGTAGTGCTGACTCTGGGGGTGGTGCGCCAGGTGCTTTGGAGGGCGGTCCCGGGGCTGCCGCAGCCCCCGACACTACTCCTCCCCCCCACCCCTACCCGACCCGGCACCAGGCTCGTGTTCGCCGTGCCCGTGAGGAGCAGGTGGAGTTGGAGAGAGAGGAGAGGGAGTTGCAGCGGCTTGAGGAGCAGTAGCAGCAGCAGGAGCAGCTGCAGCAGCCACAGCTGGAGCCGCCGCAGCAGCAGGAGGCGCAGCCGCTGGAGCCGCTGCAGCAGCAGGAGGAGCAGCAGCCGCCGCAGCAGCAGCAGCAGCAGCCGCCGCCTCCTCCTCCTGTCTCTGGTCTTCGGGCCCTCGGTCTCCCCTCTCGCTCTCCTTCCTCCTCCCCCACTCCTCTCATCTCGGGTCCTCTGCTTCCTCCTCCTGACCCCTCCCCGGCTGTTTTCCCTCGTTCTCAGCCTCCGTTGTCCCCTCCTCCTTCTCAGACTTGGGCCTCTCGTCGCTCCCCTCGTGCTCGTCCCTCGTCTCCTGTTCTCGTTACTGACCTTCGTACTGCCCTCTTTCGTTCTAGTCCGCCTCGTTCATCTCTGTCTCTCCTTCCGTCTCCTCCTGAGTCGGCCTTCACTGCTTCTCTCTCTACTCCTGTCACTGACTACTACCGCACGTACCGTCCTGTTCTCTCTTGTGTTCTCGCCTCTCTTGTTACCGACCCTCGTGCCTCTGTCTCCTCTGTCTCCGCCCTTACTGCCGCAGTCACTGAGTTTGCCTCCACTCACCGCCTTGACTACGCCACCGGTCTTGTGGCTGCTCCTCCTACCAGTCCTCTGGCCGTCGGGGGTGAGTCAGCCCTTGGTTGTGACGTCCTAGAGGACACGCAGTTTGAGCTAGAGTTCCTGGAAGCCGCTTCCCCTCATCTCTGCGCCATGCTGCTCGCCCCTGAGGGAGACCCCGACGCCCTTGACATACCGACTCCTCGCACTTACGCTGAGGCAGTGTCAGGGCCTTGGGCCTCTCAGTGCAGAGCTGCCATGGATGCAGAAATGGCCTCCTACAGATCCACAGGCACCTACATCGACGAGGTTCCCCCCCCTGGGTGATGGCATGTGGATCTACAGGGTGAAGCGGCCACCGGGATCTCCTCCGGTCTTCAAGGCGCGCTACGTGGCTAGAGGTTTCAGTCAGCGCAAGGGAGTTGACTTCTTTCAGACCTTCGCGCCTACCCCGAAGATGACCACTCTTCGGGTGTTACTGCACGTAGAAGCACAGAGAGACTATGAGTTACACTCTCTCGACTTCTCCACTGCTTTCCTTCAGGGTAGCTTACACGAGGAGGTATGGCTGCGTCGTCCCTCTGCCTTCACTGGCACTTTCCCTCCTGGGGCCCAGTGGAGGCTGAGGCGACCTGTCTACGGTCTTCGTCAGGCTCCTCGTGAGTGGCACGACACTCTTCGTTCTACCCTCTCTGACCTTGGGTTCCAGCCGTCTTCTGCCGACCCGTTGCTGTTCGTTCGTCGTGACTCCACACCGTTCTTTGTTCTGGTCTACGTCGACGACCTGGTTTTCGCCACTGCTGACAGGGTTGCCTTGGCAGACGTGAAGTCCGAACTGCAGAAGAGACACACGTGCACTGACCTTGGTGAGTTGCGCCACTACCTTGGCCTGCAGATCACTAGGGACAGAGCTGCTCGCACCATTACACTCTCACAGTCACACATGGTGCAGCAGGTCCTTCAGCGGTTCGAGCTTCAGCACTCCACAGTACAGCGCACACCTCTTGCTGTTGACCACAGACTTACTAGATCCTTTCCTGACGAGCCGTTTGAGTCTAGTGGTCCCTACGCAGAGCTGGTGGGCTGCCTCATGTACCTGATGACTTGCACTCGCCCGGACCTCGCCTTCCCTCTCAGCATCCTTGCTCGCTTTGTTGCGCCAGGGAGACACCGTCCTGTTCACTGGACGGCAGCTGTGAGGGTGGCGAAGTACCTAGCGACGACATCAGGCGTGGGGCTAGTTCTTGGAGGGCAGCAGCCTGTCGTACTTACTGGTCACTGTGACTCTTCTTACGCTGACGACGCTGAGAGTCATAGGTCTACTCAGGGGTACTGTTTCAGCTTGGGTTCTGGAGCTGTTTCGTGGCGGTCCACGCGCTCCTCTTCGGTCTCGACCTCTACAGCTGAGGCTGAGATCTACGCTGGTGCCATGGCGGCACAGGAGCTGCGTTGGTTGACCTTCTTTCTCGCTGACCTTGGTGAGCGGCCGAGCTCTGCACCGACCTTGTTCACTGACAACAAGGCGTCGATTCTCCTTTGTCGAGAGCCGCGACTGGAGAGCAGAGTGAAGCACATTAACGTCAGGTACTTTCTTCTGCGAGAGTTGCAGAGACGTGGACAGGCTCGCTTCGAGTTTGTGGAGTCCGAGGCCAACACTGCAGACATCTTCACCAAGGCGCTTCCGCCTTGTGACCACCAGAGGTGTTGTGTGCAGTTAGGCCTTGTTGACACCGTTTCTAGTCGTATATAGGCTTGAGTCTACTGTTTGCTTTGCTTGTACTCTTGCTATACACACTTGTGAACTCTCGAACTGGCCTTGTGGCCCCTGTTGCTTGTGCTCAGAGTGTGTGGTGAAGTTGTGATCCACCCTGAGCTTTGTTTCTTTGTGACTGGTCTTGTGACTGTACACTTTTGGTTTTGCTTGACACCCCTCACTTAGGCTATGGGGGTGTGTCAAATGTTGTAGCATGTAGTGAGGTCTGTCTTAGGGGGTACAGATGTTAGGGTTTGTTATATGTACCCCAACCCACATCAATGAACCAACACTTTCGTTCTTGACATGTGTTACTTGTGCAGTACATCGGGCATGGGGCTAGTGCCTAGAGGACAGGGTTCAATGGTACTCACAGGACACTCCGACGCTTCTTGGGCCGACGACCAGGCGACTCAGCGTCCGTCACAGGGTTACACCTTCAGTCTTGGCTCTGGTTCTGTCTCGTGGAAGTCCACTCGTTCTTCTTCTGTGCTTAGTTCCAGCTGTGAGGCCGAGATCTACGCTGGGGCCATGGCTGCACAGGAGCTACGCTGGCTGACCTACCTGCTGACCGACTTGGGGGAGCGGCCTCGTTCTCCTCCGGTTCTGTACGTCGACAACAAGGCAATGCTTGCCTTGTGTCACGAGCAGAGACTGGAGCATAGAACGAAGCACATTGCTCTTCGCTACTTCCTTGCGCGTGAGCTGCAGCAGCGTCGTCAGCTCCGCCTTTCCTACGTGGCCTCGCGGGCCAACACTAGTGATGTGTTGACCAAGGCCCTTGGGTCTGGTGATCATCAGCGCTTCTGCACTGCTCTTGGGCTTGTGCCCACTCTGCCTCTCCTGCTGGTTGCTTGACTTGCTCTTGTTGTACACTGATATATATTTTTATACCTGCTTGTTTACTCTTGCTAGGTTGTGATCAGTGGACTGCCTTGCTATTATAACTCTGCACGTGAACTGGCCTTGTGGCCGCTTGCTTGTGTTCAGATTGTGTGGTGTCCTTGAGATCCACCCTGAGCTTTGCTTTGCTTTGTTCTCTTGCTTGACTAGTCTTGTGACCGTGTGTTGTGTTTGCTATCTCCCACTTAGCCTATGGTGGTGTGTCAAACTATATGTTTGTGTTCTCTGTAGGCTATAGTGGATTAGCCTACAAGGAGTACAATACTTTAGAGTTAGTACTTGTACCCAACTCATTCATAGTTCATTCATTCCTGCACAGTTATTCTGACACTGAGGGCCTGTGAAGAACCTTCGATACATTGCAAGTTGAATTGCTCCAATCCAACCATGGGACATCGAATTCCATCTCTCATCTCTGAGGTACACACAAGCAGTAGCCTGTTTGTATAAACGTTCTCTGTTTCCCCTGTTTTACTCTCTCTCTACATAGAATACTGATAATAATAACCAGCTGCGGCATACTGAGCAGTGTGGCTCCTAGATATTGTGGAGAACTAGTACGGAATTGATACTGGTACAACTCGTCTACAGACACACATATACAGTATACAGATGCCCGCGCATAGCTGAACAACACATGTATTCACATGTACATGCACATTCACAACAATGGTATGGCACCATTTCATTTTCCCTGTCTGCTATGCAAACATTGGGCTCTGGTGGTCATGCATGCACTGTCCTCCCCAACATACTAATTGGTGTAAGTCTTTCAGGCTGCTTCGGTAGGTGCTTGTCTCATTGGACAATGCTTAGCATAAATAATGTATAATACATTACACAGTAACACCTAGTTACTACTGGCCTTTGTACGGTGCACACAGTAGCTGCACATCTGACTGCAAGCCGTGCCACCAAGTGGTGCCAGTGTCAACCCCTCCTCTGTGCGTGCGCCTGCAAGGCTGCAAGGCACCTCCTCACCGCGGCAGGTCCTCTGTGACAGGTACCGTCTGGCCCCTCTCTGACTTGGCATTCTCCGCAAACTGCACCCATGCAAGGGCAGGGGAGGGGAGGGGAGACGAGCAAGGCACACCAGCACACATAGTTGAGGCAGAGTGAGGTGTGGGACAGAAAGTGTGTGCGGGCAACAAACAGTGCAGAAACACAACACCAGCCTGCAAATTTTCTGCACGAGCGCAGCAGCGGATGACTGAGAGCAGGAACTGACCTTGAGTCCGCTGGAGTGCATGTCCTTGGCCTGCTCCTTCTCTGAATACTCCCCCGCGTAGTACGCCTCCTCCGTGGCCGACGGCTTTGACGAGGGGGCCGTGAGCATGGAGCCCCACTGGGGGAAGTACACAGCCACCACGGGCAGCGTGCAGCAGATGATCATGACGCCCATGTACGTGAGCCCCTGCTCCGTGCTGTACGCGCCCTTGAAGAAGATCGCCTGCGTGATCGCCGACCCCACGTTGCCGCCCGCCCCCGTGAACCCCGACACGATGCCCAGCGCACGGTGCGACACGAATGGGATGATGCCGAAGGTGGCGCCGCAGGCAGCCTGGCAGAAGTAGGAGAAGATGAGCATCACGAGAGTGGACGACCACAGCGAGTTCATGTACCCCAGCACAAGACAAAACACGCCGCCCAGCGTCTGCAGCAGCCACAGGTTCCAGAGCCGCCCACGCATGCCGAACCAGCGGGCAGCAACGTCAGAGAGAATCCCACCGCTGGGGCGCGAGAAGATGTTCATGAGACCAAAGGAGGCGGCAATGAGCCCAGCGGTGTTGAGGTTGAGGTTGAAGCGATCATAGTAATACTCAGCGATCACGTTATCGACAGTCAGCTCCACACCGAAGCAGTAGCCATACGTGAGCACGAAGACCCAGGTGCGGTAGTTGGTCACAGCTGTCTTGAGCACCTTGAGCGGCTGGTCCATCTTCCTCACGCCCTTCTTCGCCAGCTCCAGGTACTGGCCGTCGGGACAGTCCTGGCCCAGCAGCAGCACCAGCAGCCCCATGAAGGTCTGCGCGGTGGCGGGCACGAAGAAGGAGAGGCGCCACGCCGTGAAGGCGGGCACGTGGATGGCGTCCGTGATGAGCGAGTAGAGCAGCGGCATTATCAGCTGGATGGCTCCCCCGCCCAGGTTGCCCCACCCCGCCGCCGTGCCGTTGGCCAGCCCCACTATGCGCGAGTTGAACATGGACGACATCCAGTACTGCACACATGGACGGGGGAGGGGGAGGGGACGGGGGAAGGGGACGGGGAGAGGGGACGGGGGAGCGGGAAGGGGGAAAGGGGGAGCACGGGGCAGGGAGGTGAGAGAAGGCGCTGGAGCGGACCGTGTCAAGGGACGAGCGTTGGAGCGAGAGGTGCAATTCCAGAGTCACATGCAGCTCGCACCTGGCAGGAGACGAAGGTGGCGAGCACGAAGCCGATGAAGAAGCGGCAGGTGATGAAGCCGGCAGCGTTGGTGACGGCCGCCATGGCCGCCACACACGGCACCGTGGCGATCAGCAGAAACGACGTGCCGTACCGCGGCCCCACCAGGTCGCACACCGTGCCTGCGCGACCACACACGCGCAGGGGGGAGAGCGGGAGGAACGGAGGCGGGGTTGGGTGCGGAAGGCAGAATTGATAGGGCGTGGCGGGATGGGCGGGGTCCGAGCAATGATATGAGGCGGAGACGGGGAGAGGCGGAATGAAGTGGGAAGCGTCGTACCCATGACGAGACGGCTGACGACGGCGCCGACGACTGTGGCGATCCCGGCGTTGGCGATCTCGGCCTTGGTGAGGTCCAGGTTGTCGCGAATCACCGGCAGCAGCGGCGGCGCTGGCGGAAAGGGAGGGCAGAGTGGGACGAAATTAGCATCACGCGGAATGAGGCATGAGGCAGTGGGTGGCTAGCAAGGAAGGAGTGCAGGGTTGTCATGCCAAGATGGTGCGACGGTGAGAATGTGAGGCTTCGAGGGAGCGGCGGGGTTACCGGCGAAGGCGGAGCAGAAGGAGAGGAAGAAGGCGATCCAAGAGAGGTGGAATGCGCGCATGTGCGGCCACGACGCGCTGCTCGGGGGGGGACAGGAGGGCAAGGGCGGGGCACGGAGAGGAGACGAGGTGGTGAGCGAAAAGGAAAAGGAACAGCAGGCGCAATTTCGCGAGGGGCGAAGCGGACGAGGGCAAGGGCAGGGCAATGAGAGGACTCGACTTGCGGAGCGGAGCAAGTTAGGGTAAGGCGGGCAGGGTTGCGCGCAGGGGAGCGCAGGGGAGGCAAGAGAGTGGACTGCGGAGGTTGCGCGCTCCGGACTGCGTCGGCCCGTCACGACGCAGTTTAACGGCTGGGAGGGTGGAGGCGCGGCGCACCTGAATATCTTGAACTGCTTGGCCTTGTGCTCTGAGTCGACGGGCAGCGGGAAGAGCGCGTCGCCCTCGTCGAGCCCCACGTCGCGCGAGAAGATGGGCTCGCGGCCCGTCACGCCGCGCATCGACTCGCCGGGCGCGCCCACCGCATCGTGCCCCACCGCCGCTGTCGACACGTCAGCCATGGCTGCGTCGCTAGCTGCGCAACGTGTCTGCGCAATCTATCCTGCTTCCGCTACTTGGCGCGCAGTGGCTGAGTTCGCGTGGAAGCGGTTGCGTTGGAGTGTTCGAGGTTGAGGGTCGGATTGGCGTCTCACGCTGCTGCCCCGACTGAATTGTCGGCTTACGAATTTCGCGTATGCTCGCCTTGCTGGGCAACAGCCACGCTGTCGCGCTGCTTCGAAGGACAATGCGGGAAAACTGTAGTTCGTTGATCGAGAAGAGCGAGTTTAGGCTCGACGACACAGTGGTATGCAGTCACACACTAAATAACACCTTTTCCCTATCCTGTATTTATCGTCATTAGGGATCCCAGGGACTCGCACGTGAGGCAATGCCGCTGTCGGCATTCACTGTCGCTCGCAACGCAATGCCTCCTCCCCTCGACTCCACCCTCTGTCCCTGCCGCCTTCGCCGCATCACGTGCTCCGTCCCCGTCACTGCTGATGTCACACGTGGCGCTCATTATCCAATCAGCAGCCAGCGGACGACACTGTCGGTGCAACATGTGGTCAATACGAGGAGACCTGGCTGTCGAGGAGGGCAGGGGACGAGGACCTGATGGGTGAGGAGGCCAAGGTGAGTGGGTGAGTTGGGGGACAAGGGGCATGGCTCACTTGACTGGGTTCGGGAGGGCAGATCCACAGAGGGCCGATCGCTGGAAAGGGGAGCGGAGGGGGGGCAGTTGGGTGGTTGCGGGGCGCCGATTCGACCCAATGGCGCTGAAGGGTGGTAGCTCCTGGCGGCTCGCGGGCCGGGGAATGAGGCTACTTGTACTGGGATCCCGGGGGCCAATGGAGCGCCTGAAGCTGGCTCAGAAGGTTTTTTTCGGGGGCGGGATTGCATTTTAGCCAATCGGTTGGCAGGGTTACCACAATTGCGATCTTGGGTGCCCTTTCAGGCCAGTAACAAGCGGGATGATGTCCTTCGCCAGCTGAGGGCGGGCATGGGGGTCAGAGTCCCGCTAGACTTGAGCACCAAAACCTACCCACGTGGCTAGAATATGAGCCTTGATTGGGTCTAACATTATTTGATCAGCGATCCAGATTCACAAAGGCCAGTCGCTGTACCCGCTGTCACCTATCCGAGCAACATACGCGGTTATAAATGAGTGAATTCGTGCAACTGCAAGAAATGTATCGTACGATCCCTTCATGGTTCATTACGGCAATACCCCCAAGACCCGAATTACAAAAAAAGAAGGAAAACTCTGCACAGTTTGCCTCCCACAGCCCACAGTTTTGCCTCGCGTTGACTTGCTTTGAGCAATTCAGGTCTGGGCTTTAAGACTTCAATAATCCTCCATTCATCTGAAACCTCAGCCCTACGGTACACCAGTAGCTTCACTCCAGACAAGGAATTCATACCGTATCCACATGTAACTAGCCTCAAATATGCAATTTCATCATCCATAGAGATCCATTTGGAGCACTTTCCACTGAATCATTTAGGGCCACCAAGGCTCCTTGCCACAAAGGGACGGAGAACCTACTGTATCACAGCAGCACTCTGCTGGGTGAGAGCATTTGCGCTTGGCGTGGAAGGGAAAATCCACAGGAGTAACTGGACATGAGAAAGGACAGGTTCAAGCCACTGGTGCCACAGCAAAGAAGTTCCACTGGTGCTTGGAGGTCAAACGAGGGATGTCAGAACGGTGAGGGCGGTCGGTGGGGCTGTGTGCGTAGGGAGGCATAGCGGGGAGAGAGTCGAGGGCGTGGGCAGAAGGACGAGGGCGAGGAGGGCAGGCGGGGGGGAGGAGCGGAGCGCAGGGGAGAGGAGGAGAGGTGCGTGTGCAGTGAGGGGAGGGGGGGGGCATGCCAGGCATGAGGGGGAGATGCAGTGAGGGGGGGTGATGCAGTGAGGGGGGGGCGTGGGCTGAGGGAAGGGGGGGAGGGACGGCGGCCATGGGCTGGAGGCGGGGAGAGGGGGGGTGAGGGGGATGGCAAGTGCAGCTGCTGATGATAGTGTGATGTCAGCATGACCTCATGGTCTGCACTGCTGTCAAAAAACAGTTGCTCCTTGCCCTCTTCTTCTCCTTCCTCCTCATCCTCCTCATCTTCCTGCTCCTCTTGCTCCTCCCCCTCCCCCTCCCCGTCCTCCTCCTCCCCGTCCTCATCCCCCTCCTCCTCATCATAATACTCTTCACATTCCTCCCCACCCACATCCTCCTCCTCTTGCTCCTCATCTCCCTCGCCCTCCTCCCACTCCTCTTGCCCCTCCCCTCCATCCGACCCATCCACCTGCCACTCCCTCTCCACGTCATCCCCTTCAATCTCCTCCTCTCCCTCCTCCGCCTGCTCCTCATGCTGCTCCTCCCCCTCTCCCATACCCCACGCGCCTGCACTCGTTCCGCCCTCCTCCCACTCCCACCCACCACTGCCTCCTCCCTCGCTCATCAACCCCCCCCTCGTCCCCTCCTCCCCACTCACACACCCCGCCACCCCCTCTCCCTCGCTCATCTGCTCATTCTGCACTCCTTGCCACACCCCATCCTCCTGCCTCTGCTCCTCGCCCTCCTGCCCCCCCTGCGCCCTTCCCCCAGCCCGTCCGCCCGCCCACCTGTGACCTGCGCCCTCCGCTCTTGCCTGTCGCCACCACGCACTGCCCTGCTCGCTGCTCTGCTGCTGCTCCTCCCACGGCCTTCCCCACTCGCCCACGCTGCTCTCCCCGCCTCCTCTGCTGCCCGCTCGCCTCTCCGTACCCCCTGTGACGGCCGCCCATGCCTGCCTCTGCCCCGCGCCACCCCACAGCCCGCGCCCCGCTTGCCTGCCCGCGCGCGGACTCACTCGCTGCCCCTCCCGGCCCTGCTGCTGCGCGCGCTGTGCCACGCCGCCAGTAGACGCTGCTGCTAACGACGAGGGGGGCTCTGGCGCGGCGAGAGCAGGGGAGGCGGGGCGCGCGGGGGAGGCGTGGCGGTGGTGGCGCAGGGAGGAAGAAGACGCCAGACGGCCGCCCCTAGACCAGCCCTGGCCCCCCCACCACTGCATGTTCATCCCCTGCTCCCTCTCTGTCTCGCTCTCCCGCTCGCTCCCCCTCACACTCTCCCTCTCGCTCTCCCTCTCACTCTCCCTCATACTCTCCCTCTCACTCTCCCTCATACTCTCCCTCTCACTCTCCCTCATACTCTCACTCTCACTCTCCCTCGTACTCTCCCTCTCACTTCCCCTCTCCCCCTCCCTCCCCCAGTTCCGAATCACCTCTCGTCGCATCTCTCTTTCCCACTCCCTCTCCTCCCTCACGCCCCTCTCGCGCCCTCCCCTCAGCCCCCACCCCGCACCTCCCAACCCGCCCCTCCCCCACCCGCCACCCGCGCCACCCCCACCCGCATCCCCCCCTATCCCCCATCCCCACCGCGTGCGCCCTTCCCACTCCCCCCCTCTCCCCGCGCGCCCCGCCTCGCGCGGAAGCGAGCTGCGCGCGCTGCTGGAGGAGCCCAGGGTGACCAGGGTGGTCAGGGTGCCGATGCTGTTCCTGTTGAGCGCGCGCGCCGCCGCTGACTGCCCCAACACGCCCCGCACTCCCACTCTCCCGCCCTCCCTCTCCCTCTCCCGCTCCCTCTCCCTCTCCCTCACCCTCTCCCACGCCCGCTCCCTCCATTCCTCTCGCTCTCTCTCTCTCTCCCTCTCCCTCTCCCGCTCCCGCTCCGTCCACTCCCACCGGAACCCCACGCTCTCCCTTTCGCTATCCCCGCCCTCCCACCCGCTGCCGCCCCCCTCCTCTCCGCTCACTCCACCGCTCCACCCCCCGCGGCCCCTCTCCCCGCTTTCCATGCTGTCCCACCCATCGCCGCCGCCGTCCCTGCTCTCCCCGCCGCCCCACTCCCCTTCGCCGGGCTCCCCGCCCTCCCACTGCATCTCGTGCCACTCAACGTCGCCGCGCTCCCCCTCGCCTCCCCCTGCTGCGCCGCCGCCACCAGCTTCCGCTCCCCCGCCCGCGCCGGTTCCCCCTGCTCCTTCCGCCCCCCGCCCCTGCCCCTGATGCTGCGCGTCCTGCGCGTCCGCGGTGGGCAGTTCGAAGCGGCAGACGGGGCACGTGTTGTGGCGCTGCAGCCACGGCAGGAGGCAATCGGAGTGGTACACGTGGCGGCACGGCATTTGCTGCGTGACGGCGCCCGCGTCGTAGTCGTCCTTGCAGATGGCGCACGGGTCCATCAGCCCGCCGCCCTCCCCGTGCTCGCCCTCTCCCGCCGCCTCCCGCTGCGCCACGTCAGCAGCGGTCACCACGCGCACCAGCATGGCCTCGACGGCCGCCGGGCAGGCGGGCGGGTTGCGCGTGCTGCGACGGTGGGTGAGGAGAAAGGGGGAAAGGAGGCGAGGGGAGATGCGCGCACAGACAGCCGCGGTAAGCCACTGGAATCCCGGTTACGTTTGTGGTAACAAGATTACCGCACAGCATGACTGGCGCAATCACCCCCCGGCGGCACTCACCCCATGGTCACGCGCCTCACCTGACGGCGTCGTCGGCGGAGATCCGCTCCACGAGCGCATCGAAGTCGTCTCCAAAGAAGTAGTCCCCCACCGCGCCCGCTATGCCGCCCGCCGCGCCGCCCGCAGCGGCGCCGTCCAGCAGCTGCCCGCCAACGATGGCGTTGAGCGACTCGAGACGCGCCAGAAGGCGCCGCAACTGGCGGGAGGGGCGAGAAAGACGAGCAGAACGATGAGAAAGAAGGGAAGAAAAAGGGGGTGGAGAGCAGAGGCGCAATGAGCAAGCACGGCGAGAGCACACGGTGAGCCACATACCGCGAGCCAAACGTCATGGCACCTCGGCTCGCTTCCCTCGCGCCCAAACCAGCCATGCATGCACCTCCCCGGTACCCACCCACCCCTCTCACTGCGTGCCCCACCCTCCGCGCCTCACAGCGTGCCCCAGCCGTGGTGTCATGGTACCGTGTGTTCGCGGTTCACACGTCGCCCCATGAACTCCAGGATCGGCGACGCCTCCGCCTCCCCTCGCACGCCCAGCAACGACGCCGCCACCCCGCCGCCCCCGTCCTCCGCCCCTCCGAACCGCCGCGCCCGCGCGCCCCCCACCCGCGCCGACGCCGCTCCCCCTGCCCTCCCCCCCAGTCCCCCTCTGCCATAAGCACCGAACGTTGCTTCCCTGCCGGCCACGTCAGCGAGTCGCTCGTGGTCAACGCGGTCCTCCATGTCTCGCAGCATCCTCGCCAGCCCCAGATACGCGCCCTCCAGCCTCCGCGCCGCGCCGTGCCGCTCGCCGCCCTCCTCCGCCTCGCCGCCCGCTCCAGCCGCAGCGGACGCGGAAGCAGCGGCCGCGGATGGACCACCATTGGTAGCGCCGCCGCCACCACCGCTGCCACTACGGCTAACGCCACCGGCGGCAGCAGCAGCGCGGCCGTCATCGTCGGCGGGCCGCACGCCCCACCCGCTGGACTCCCGAAACGCTGCTTCGCCGGCAGACGGGCCCGGGGACCTGACGTCAGCACCCACGCCGACGTGCCGGCGGCGAACGAATCCGCGGAAGGGCCGTTCGGGGCGGAGCGACGCGCCGGCGGCGACCCCGGCGGTCTCGCCTGCGCTGACATCCGCATCGCCCGCGCTCTCGCCGTCCCACGCGAACGAGCTCTCACGAGCCTCCCTCGCGAACCCGCTCGACGCGCCGGCATGCGCGTTGCCGGCATGCGCGTTGCCGGCATGCGCGTTGCCGGTATACTCCTCCGTTAGGTCGATCACGGGCGCGGCAGCAGCAGCTGCGCGGGCGTGGTCGGATCCGCGGTGGCGCCATCTGTGGTGGCGGCCGTGCTCCCCGCCGTCGATTTCGCTGCCTGCAGTCAACTCCTCCACGAATCCGCCGCCGCACCACGCGCATATGACCTCCGCTGCTTCTGCGTCGTTCGAAGGAGCTGTTAACGAGCGCACCGTGGCGCACTGATGACACCAGAACGGACGAGATGGCATGGTCTATACGAATAACATGAACCTAAGCTGCTTCCTCGGCGTGCACGTTAGACGCTGACGCACGCAGGATGAGCGGGACAGCACACTGCTGAACGAATTCCGAAGAAACAGAAAAAATCATATGCCAAGCGAAGGTGGGCACGCTTGCTTACGCCACACGGCACGAGAAGTCAAGAGGCGATTGAAAGAAAAGAATGCTAGGCAATGTTTCCTCGGGCATAACATTGCCGAGGCTACCCTACAAGGAAGCCTGCTACGAACTGCGATACTGTGCTGTGGGGAGAAGCAGGAATGACAGCCATGTGAACCTGTTTCCTTCGGGTAACAAGACAGCAGGGAGGGAGCTAAGAACAGTGAGCATGAGCCATGTATATTTGTCTAGGGTTGACTTCGTAAGGTGCGTTTCTGGTAAGCAGTGGTCTAAGACGGTGGAAACACAAAACCGTTCCAAACCGAAATAAATGTGAATGAACCGCTTCAGAAGAACCATGAATAAACATGATCAGAGAAGCAGAAGAGAGTGGAGAACAGTATGGCACGGTTTGGGGAGGCCATGGTATGTGCGTGAAGCATGACGTGGATAGCAGGTTGGCTGGACCACGAAGCTGTCATTCGCTGTGGACAGGCCAGCCTGTCGCTGGACAGACAGGCTCGTCAAGACGACAGTAGGTACGGAGAATGAGCTACAGGTAAGCCGTACCAGACTTTGAGTAGGTGGTGGGGGAGAGCAAGGGCTGAAGCATGTACTCCCGAATCCCAGCGCGGTGAGGGAATTTGTGCTTCGGTACTTGAGCCAGGTACACAGTACCGAAGCTCCGAAACGCGAGCAGCCGAGAGCACACACAAGCCCTAGCCCTGGAAGTCCTTATGCGCTGTAAACAGTTGCTATGCAGTGTACAGCCTTGGCACCACTAATAACTGTACGTCTGATCGTGTATGGCGTTGGGGCAGTTCACATTCCACAATCCCTGAAAACATCTCACATAACATCATTATTGCAACTTATCACAAGTAACTAGCTACAGTTCATCCGTTGAAAAGGGGAAGGCCGTCGAGTTCACGTGAATCGGTGCCGACTTTATGGGATCACTGTTGAAGGTGGATGACCACCAGCGAGCGCACACTCGTCGATATTGCCTCCACTCGCTTTCGCTATATACATTGTAACCCAAGCGAACTCAAACCGTTCACCCCGTCGCACACGTCCCCCCATCCCTCTCGTCGCTCTCATACCGCCAGCCCACCCTGGGATGGCCTCCCCAGCGCTCTGGCAGCAGCGGCCTAACAAAGCTCTTCTGCTGTGCTTCTCTCCGCCCTTTCTCTCCCCTCCCTAGTTTCTGGTTGCTCTACTCTAGACACCCACACGGCCCGACATGGTACGCACTACGCCCTTAGCTTCCGGCTTGTAACCGATTGGCCGTGTATATGATTTCGGGTCTTTTTCTCGTGTTCGCACCAGTTCAACATTTCACCATAAAGGACGTCGGCTCGTAGTGCACAGATATTCATGCGTTCCCCGTTTTTTCGAACTAGTTGCAAACCCTAGCTGCTGATGACGTCTCTCACCGGCGGGCGTGCCGTCGTTTCGTCCTCTTGCCGTGGTGCAGGCGATTGATCTGAAGGCCGGCGGGCGGAACAAGAAGACCCACAGGACGGCCCCCAAGAGCCGGAATCCCTACCTCCTCCTCCTCGTCAAGGTCAGTCGCGCACCGCCCGTGCTTGCGTTGAACAGCCGTCTGCGATCATTGCATGATAGGCCCTTTATTTGGGAATTGCCGTGTTGCGACGGCATGGGATTCGCGCCTTTAGAGCATGGGGAGAACAGGCCGTTGCAGCGGGATCGCGACGTACCTGTCGGTGTATCGATATAACTTTAAGAGCGACAGCTTTGGATCGACCGATCTTTAGGGTTCAGTATAGGCGAGACTGGCAACGTTTAGGGTTTCATACTTTGCCGGCATGTCGTCTGTAACTCTGGAGCAATCGCCGCATTGCGCCAATGTGACACGTGCGATGCCGTCTTGCAGCGGTTCGAAACGCCTAAGCGTGGGTAATGAGCGCGTGTGGTGTGTTCTGCATGGCGTGTAGAACAGTCGTCAGTCGATGGAATTCACATCCTATCGGGCATTGCCGCAGTGGGGGGAGCGTGCCGCATCCTGTACATAGCTCGGAATGAACCTGTTTGACGCCGTACAGCTATTGCCTTGCCCCAGTGAACAGCTTCCGTATTCGTCCTAGTGCCGCACTTCAAAACGCGTCTGCCATGGACATCTCGCATGATCGCCGTACTCCGCTCTCGCCGCTGACCGCTGTTCCCGCACCTCGTATCACCCGCCCATCCAGCTCTCGCTCTCGCCCTCATGCGGTGTACTCATTCCTAGCCACCCTTTCACTTTCGCAACTCCTTTTTCTTTCACCCCCCGGCCTGCCCCCATGCGCCCTGTTCTTCCCTTCTCCCCGGCTCACCCTTCCTTCCTCCTTTCCTCCCTCCCCCCCCCCGCGCGTGGCAGATCTACCGTTTCCTGGCGCGGCGCACGGGCAGCCCGTTCAACAAGGTGGTGCTGCGCCGCCTCTTCATGAGCCGCACCAACCGCCCGCCCGTCGCGCTCTCGCGCGTCCTCGAATACGGCGAGAACAAGGTCCGCGCCGCGGGGGCTTAGGGACGGGAGGGCTGGAGTGGAATTAAGGGAGATGGGAGAGCGGGTTGTAAGGGAAAACGGGATCGAATTCAGAGGGAATGATCGGGCAGCGAGTGCCACAGCACGCTCTCTCCATCGGAACCGCCGCAAGCCTCATCCCTTGCAACCCATTGTACCGCGTTCCTCCATGGTCCCATCCCACTTAATCACCGCTCGTCCCACCTCGCCCCGTACTGACTGCCCTCTCGCTCTTCCCCGCCCTCTCGGCCCCTCACGATTCCACTATCTCCCTCGCCCATTTCACTCTTCCATCCTCTCCCCTCCACTTCCCCAACACCCCTCCCCTCCCGTCCCCGACGGTGCTCCGCTGGTGCACGCGCGCGGCAGGGCGCGGAGGCGGTGGTGACGGTGGTGGGCAAGGTGACGGACGACAAGCGCCTTTACAGCGTGCGCGAGGGCGTCAAGGTGTGCGCGCTGGCTTTCTCCGCCACTGCGCGCGCGCGCATCGAGAAGGCCGGCGGCGAGTGCCTCTCCTTCGACCAGCTGGCGCTGCAGCGGCCCACCGGCATCAACTGCGTATGCTCCCCGCAACCCCCGCGCCGTCGTCCTTTCTCCCTCCACCTGTCCGCCCGCTCTCCTTCTCGTAATTTCTACCGACGTTCTTTCACTCTCCGCGTGCCCCTGAACTTCGTTTTTCCCACGCTGTTCCCCTTTTTCCCTGCCTCCCCGCATACCTGCGCTCGTCCTGCGCTCGTCCTGCGCGCAGCTGCTGCTCCGCGGCAAGGTGACGAGCCGCGAGGCCTTCAAGCACTTCGGCCCCGCGCCCGGTGTCCCCCACAGCCACACCAGGCAAGTGATCTTCCCGATGCCAAACCAGGCAAGTGTTGCCACTTGCCGCTTGCCGCCATGCTCGTGTGTCCATTCTCCGCCGCACCTGTGTCCCTTTCTCTCCCGCTCTCCAACCTTTCTCGCTCCTCCCCCTTACATCTCCTCGCGTCGCTCCTAGTGCGCCGCGAATAACCCGAACCTCATTGGGCCGCTCTACATTCTGTTGGCGGGGGGAACTGTCGCCGTGGGGCAGAGGGATGTTGAGCAGAGGGGATGCGGGCCGTGGGGATGTGGGCCGTGGGTCGAGGGGCATGGTGTGCGCGACAGGAGGGATCAGGGCGGGTTAGGGGTGGGCGATAAGCGGGCAGCAGCCGCAGAGCGCAGGGAACTCGGAGCGCAGGGGAACCAGATTACAAGGGAGTGGGAGCACAGTGCGGACTGGTAGCAGAAGCAGCAGCAGAAGCAGAAGCAGCAGCAGAAGCAGAAGCAGCAGCAGCAGCAAAAACAGCGGAAACAGCAGCAGCAATAGCAGAAACAGCAGCAGCAATAGCAGAAACAGCAGCAAAAGCAGAAACAGCAGCAAAAGCAGCAACAGCAGAAGCAAAAGCAGCAGCAACAGCATTTACAGCAGAGCAGAAGCAGAAGCAGCAGCAGCAACAGCAAGAACAGAGGCAGAAGCAAGAGCAGAAACAGCAGTAGCAGCAGTGCAGGCCACAAGGACTCTGTGCCCGCCCTCCCCCTCCACGCCTTCACGCCCTCCTCTCCCAACCCTTCTCGTTGTGTTCCCTACCATGGCACCTTTTTCACCGTGTCTCACCTTATCAACTTCCTTTCCTTTTTCCGTCTGTCCCCTCCCTCTCTGCAGGCCATATGTGCGCAGCCAGGGCCGCAAGCGGGAAATGGCTCGTGGTCGCAGGAACAGCCGCGGCTTCAAGGTGTAATTGGCGTTACGGTACAATTGAGCTGGTTATGGTGGAGCTGGTTACGGTGCAGTGCGGTACAGTTGCTCTCATTGCACTTGCTGTTGCAAGGACGGATGCAGGCACAGGTGCAGCAGGAGTGGCTGCATGGCTGGGTGTAGGGTGCAGGCAAGGGCAGGGTGCGAGGCAGGATTGGCAGGCAGAGAGCACCACATTGTGCTGCTATAGAATAGGTACCATTTTCGTTTGTGTTTTGCCTGTGAGTGTACCTGTGCTGTAAAGCTGGTCTTAAGCTACGCCTGTGCCAAGAAATCATGTAACAAAGGGTTCACTGCCGGCGAATGGTAGGGAACAAGATTGTAGGCTAGCAGAACGAAGGGGAACCGGAACTGGTAGATGATAGACACAAAACGACTTCAAATATGATATGTATTATCGTAAGCTCCAGTTCCATTTGGAAATAGTTCTCAGATTTTATCCTTCCGAATTCCTCCCTCGCTCAAATTTTGGACAGCCTGCACGCAAGACCTCCAAACACAATTTCCTTGAGAGAATAGGCCAAGTTATGGTCGCGACTTTTTCAGCTGCGGAGCGCCATAGCTTTCCCATGGTTGCGACAACCCTCCGCGTTTCACCGCCATGCTCTGCGCTGCCGATAGCATCGCACCGCCGAATAATCTCAACGGCACCAAACCTTGATACTCGCAACCGCCGCGTTGACTTCGCCTCTGTGCATCTCGGTCGACCAGAGGCAAGCCACGCCGTGAGGCCACAGTCGAGCGCATCAGGCGCGTCGCTCGCCCGTTCTGCTTGCGTGCCGCGAGCCATGGGTGGAACGAACGAGTCGACGGCGAGCGACGCGGCGACAGTCCAGGAAAGCCGGCGGCGCACGCGGACTCGTCGCTTCGCCATCCTGCTGACCGGCCACAGCAGGTGCCTTCAGAGCCTCTACACTCGAATCTGACTGGAGCCATTTTGACAGGCCTTTTCTCCCAGTGCTCGTCGCGGTGCGTTCCACCGTTGGTGCATGCAGCGCTATGCAATTGAAACTGAGCTCCACCGTTGGTGCATGCAGCGCTATGCACTTGAAACTGAGCTCCACCGTTCTCGTCCTTACGTTACTTTCCTTCCCCGTCGTCCTCAGTGCCTCGCCTTTTGTCCTCCGTCTCTCCCCCGTCTCTCCCTCGTCTCTCCTCCGTCTCTCCTCCGTCCCTCCCCCTACCCTCCCTCAACCGCGCGCCAGTGCGTACTCGCAGCAGCGGTACGGCGACTACAGCGGCATGTTCCTCTCGCTGCTCAGGGATGGCGGACACGCTCATGGGGAAAATGCGGCAGGGGAAGAGGAAGCGAAGGAGCGGTGGGACGTGTTCTCCGTGGTGGACGGGCAGTTCCCCTCCGCGCAGGACCTGGACGCGGTGAGCACGTCGTGTGGCGTGGCGCGGCGTGGCGTGGCGCGGCTTTGCTTGGCTTGGAGTGCTGTGTTGGTCTGCTGGTGCAGGCATCTGTGAAATCCGGAGGAGCTATGGATCCTGCACCATGCATCTGCCAGCATGCATCATGCATCCGCTCACATGAGATGAGACACACATGCATGCTTCCCATCCATCATCCATCTGCTCTGCTCCCATTGGCCACGCATGTGCACACGGCACACATGGCATGGGGTACACATGCATGCGTGCTGTGGGGGTGTAGCAGGTGGAGGCGGTGGTGGTGACGGGCAGCAAGCACGACGCGCATGCAGACGACCCGTGGATCGAGCGCCTCTGCGCCCTGCTGCTCCACCTGCACCGCCGCCGCACCAAGATCCTCGGCGTCTGCTTCGGCCACCAGGTGCTTGAATTGCAAAATGACACCAAGTGTTACCGTTTCCCATCCCCATGTGCCCATCCCCATGTGCCCATCCCCATGTGCCTCTCTTCTATGTGCCTGCCGCATGCCTCGCCCATGCCTTTCACCACCATCTCTGCATTCTTCTCATCATGTGCCCCACCCTCCCCGCATCTCCCTCATGACCCATCCACCCCTCCCATGAGCGCCATGCAGGTGGTGGGGAGGGCGCTAGGGGGGCGCACAGGGCGGGCCGCTGTGGGGTGGGAGCTGGGGATCAAGCCCGTGCAGTGCACTGCTGACGTGGCATCGCTGCCGTATGCTGCCAGCTTGCCATCGTCCTTCAAGATTCTGGAGGTCCATCGGGATCAGGTGAATCCCGTTTTGCATCCACTCAGGGAAATGTGAAGGAACCGCTATTCGAGTTACTCGCTGGCATGTGCTGTTATTGGCCTTTGGCTGTATGCAACTACAAGTTTAATCGACTTGTGCTGCTTCCTTCTCATACAGGTGTTGGAGTTGCCTCCCTAAGCTGTTCTCCTGGGCTCGTCACCACGCACGCCCATTGAGATGTTTGCCATAGGGGAGCATGTGCTGTGCATGCAAGGACACCCCGAGTTCACTAAAGACGTAGTGGAGGACCTTGTAGTGAATCGAACCAAAGATGGCATTATTCCTGTAAGTCTCTTGCATTTTCCCTGCTTGAATCTGTCTGCGTAGATCTGCTTCTTTCACCGCTCTCGTCGTGTGTGGCTTGATTTGTGCATGGATTCTCGTTCCCAATTGTCTTGAATTTCTGTTTTGCAGGTGGATGTGGCTGCAGAAGCCTTGAAGTCGCTAGAAATGTACGACGAGAATAAAGACGAGCTTAGAGCCTTGTGCAATTCATTCTTGAGATCATTACGTTCTTATACCATCATTTCATAATTATCTCTGCGAGCTGTACAGTAACTTCTAACGCGTCGACTGATATTCTCCGCGCATCGCTTGACTTCCCCAGCTCCCCCCTCCCTCCCCTCACTCCCTCTCGCTCCCCCCGCTCGACTGCCTCTTCCCCCGTGGCGCAGGGATGTACAGATTCGCTGGAGAAATCCCGAAATTCAGACGGAAATTCAAATCCTGCCACATTTGATTTATTTTCGTCCATTCTGCCATTCCCTGCAGTTCCTTCAACTGCCTGACCTCATCGAATTAGGCACCGAATTCCCGCCATGGCTGGCGGTGTGTGCGCGAGTCCATTGCGATGGGCGGCCCTCGCAGCTCTCGTGCTACTCGGATCAACAGCGGCGGCGGCGGCGGCGGAGGAGGACGATCACACGTTTAGCGCGAGCGTGGTGAAACTGACGGACACCAACTTCAAGCGGAAGACGAAAGGCCACACCTTCGTCATGTTCTACGCCGAATGGTCAGCCGCCGCCTCTGCGCACGCCATGGATCGCCCACGCTCTAATACACAGCACCACGTGGCTTAATCTCGCCATTGCATTTTTCTTCGCGGTTCGCTTTTCTCGCTCCGCATCCCCATTATTTTTGCCGAGAATTTGGGGCGTTGCAAGCAGCTCATTCCCGCACGATGATCCATCGCACTCTCCCGTTCACTCCCGCGACCTCCTTCAATCCCCACGCGCACGTCGCACTGTCTCCACCTCCCTTCCTTCCACAACACCCACCACCCCCTCCTCCGCCCCCAGGTGCGGGCACTGCAAGCGGCTGATCCCCACGTGGTCGCAGCTGGCGGACGAGCTTAAGGAGGCGGGGCGCGCTGACGTCAGCATGGCGTCGCTGCTGGCGACGGAGCACCGCGCGCACCCCGCCACGAAGCTCGTGCGCGGCTTCCCCACGCTCATCTGGTTCCACGGCGCCCGCCCCGTCGCGCAGTACGAGGTGTGCCTGGGGAACGGGGGGGTGGTTTGGGAGGTGGGGGAGAGGGGGAATTGTTGGGGGTGGAAAAGGGGGAAGAGCGCGAGATACCGCGGCTTTAGGGATGTAGGGGCGGCGCATGCGCGGGCTCGTCAGGCGCGTCCCCCATGGCGCTCGCTGCAGCATTTTTCTTGGCTCTGCTTCCATGCAACCCCCTTACTGGGCGCGCTCCTTTCCGTGTGCGCATTCACGCGCGCCTCTCTCCGCTCCCTATACCCGCATTGCTCCCCAATGCTACCAGCGCTTTCTTCACTGCATACTCTCAAGGCCCCGGCACTCCCTTCCATTTCCTTTTAGCCCTCCTCCGCTCCTCTCTCCGCCCCCGTCCGCACCCTTCCTATCTCTCACCCAGCTCTCACTCCCCATCCGCCCTCCCCCGCCTCCTCCAAATTCCACACTCACTCTTTTCCCATCTCTTACTCCCCCCTACCCTTTCCCCCGCGCGCCCCCAGGGGGACCGGTCGCGGGAGTCGCTGCAGGCGTTCATGGAGGAGCAGGCGCAGCTGGGGGACGCGGAGCTGGCGGAGGGCGCGCGGCGCCTGGAGGCGGAGGCGCGGAGGGCGGAGGAGGAGGCGCAGCGCGCGGAGGAGGGGAAGGGCGCGGAGCCCACGTTCAGTGAGAGCGTGGTGGAGCTCACCGATGGAAACTTCCAGGAAAAGACCCGCGGGCACACCTTCGTCATGTTCCACGCGGAATGGTGGGCTCTTCTCATCTCATCTCATCTCATCTCTTCTCATCTCAGCTCCTGCCTGCCCGCCTGCTGTCACCTCAACTCTTCGACTCTCAGTTCTCAACTCCCAGCTCTCAACTTTCGCCTCTCATGACTCCCCGTTATCACAGTGTCCCCCTCGCCGCCCTTCTCCCCTGCTCCTCTGCTTTCCGTTTCTTCACCCCACTCTTCCTGAGACCCCTCTTCTCCTCATCCTTTCCCTTTCCCCCAAGCCATCTCTCCCCACCCTCCCCTGCCCCTCCCTCCCCCTCCACCCCCCCAGGTGCGGACACTGCAAGCGGCTGATCCCAGTGTGGTCGCAGCTGGCGGACGAGATCAAGCAGGCAGGGCGGGCGGGCGTGGGTGTGGCGGCGCTGCTGGCCACGCAGCACCAGAAGCACCCCGCCGTGGGCTTCATCCAGGGCTTCCCCACTCTCATCTGGTTCCACGGGGGGCAGATGGTCGCTGAATACTCGGTGAGAAACAAGTTATGCCGTGCTCATGCTCTTGATCTTGCTTGTGCTCATGCCCCTCCATCCTAGCCTCCTCCTCACCCCTTCCTCTCTCCCCTCCCTTGTTCCTTCCCCCTCCCCCACTCCGATCCTCTCGCCTCCCTCTCACCCGCCTTCTTCCCTTCTCCCTCCACACCACCCCACCCCTCCCCCTTCCTCCCACTCCAGGGCGACCGCAGCATGGCATCGCTGCGGGCATTTGTGGAGGAGCAGGGCGCGCTGCAGGGGGCAGCCCTGGCGCGCGCCAAGAAGGACATGAAGGCCGCCGTGGAGCTCAAGATGCGCGAGCGCCAGGAGGAGCAGCTGCGCGCAGCTGCGGACCAGCGCCGCATCGAGACGGAGTTCGCCGCCCGGGTGCCGGAAATCAGCCTGAGTGACCCGAGCAGGGTGGAGGGGCAGGCGGTGGTGGTGCTGCACTATGCCGACTGGTGCCACGCGTGTGGCTCCATGAAGACTGTATTGCTGGACTTGCAGACAGATCCCCCTGTGGAGGGGCTTGTGGTGGGGCGGTTCAAGGACCCCCAGGCTGGGCTGCTGGCTGCTGGTAACACGCTGCGTAACGGGCAGCCCACGACGTTTTTTGTGAGTGGTGGGCGGATTGTGGATGCGTTGAAAGGGGTGAAGAAGGGTGAGGAGGTGCGGGAGTGGGTGAGGGAGCTGGGGGAGTTGAGTGAGGAGGAGGTGGAGGAGAGGGGGAGGGAGTGGAGGGAGGGCGTGGAGGAGGAGGTGGAGCGGCTGCAGCGTGAGGAGAGGGAGAAGATTCAGGAGGAGGTGAGGAGGAAGGAGGAGGAGAAGAGGAGGGCGAAGCTGCAAAAGCGGAGGGAGAAGACGAGATGGGCAGTGTGAGGAGGATTGGGGGGTGTGGATGGAGATGAATGGGCAGTGTGTGAGGAGGTGGGAAGTGGAGGGTGGCTTCCATGTTGATTTGTGGCTTTTGGAGATTTAGGAAATAGCAAGGGTTCCTGGATGGGGTGACCATGACCACAATGCTTTGCTTACAGAGTAGAGATTATTGATACCTCAAATTCTAGATATTTGAGTGCTACTACACTCACATCTCCTTGAAATGTCACACATCCGTACGTATCCCAGCCTTAGTGCTTACAGTGTACAATGAACAGTGTACAGTGAACATTGTGTACAGTACAGCGCAGGATTGCGTGTCATTCAGGACCACCAGTTCAACTCGCGAGGCGAGTGAGCGAGCGAGCGAGCGCGTGCTGTGCTGCACTGGTCTGCTGCAGCACAAGGGTCACTTGCGCCCGACCAATCCCAGCTTTCGCCCGCCTACGCCTCACCAACCAAACTCCTCGTCCATCGCCCACGCGACAACGCGGCGGACTGACGTTTGATCGCCCTTATTCTCGCTCTCCGCATCTCACGGTCGCCTCTGCTCAGCCTAGTCTTTAACTTAGTCGTACCGCGGCATGGATGCGCTTCGTCTGCGATGACTTTCGGCGACTCCGCTCGACTGACGGCTGGTGTGAACGACGAGCGACGCAATGCCTGATATGCGCGACTCTTAGCGAAGTGTCTGCTGCGGTAGTTTTTTACAGATATTGCGACTAAGCGCTGCGTCAGTGAGGGGGTTGTCGCGACTGATCCTCCTTCCGAACCGCGTCTGCGGGTATCACTCACGAGGGCAAATAACATCCAACCGCCCTCTGCATCCGCGCGTGCGCGCATCGCCGACGCGCATCAGTGACGCGCATTAGTCACTCTGGAGGCGATGGGGTCGATAACGGCGGACGACGATCATGTGCATCTGCGCGTGCCCAATGTGCCCGCCATGGTCGCCAAGAGCTTCCACGAGCGCGTCGCCGAGACCCAATCGCTGCTCTCCAACGTCGGCAGGTCAGACCACCGCGCCTTGCGCGGAACCGCGGGATACCGGTAGGTGCGACGCGCGAGATGCGTCGCCGCGCGGATCATCCAGTTGATTCTCTTTTTATTTTTTAGTCGACTTGGCAATCAACTCTGTTCCCTCTCGCTCACTTTCCTTCCGCTCTTTCCTCTCATCCACATTATTGAGGTTTTTTTATAATTCTTCGAAAACTCCCCTTCCCCGTCAGCACACACTACCCCCTTGCCGCCTGTTTCCGCCATTCCCCCTTCCCCCGCACGCCACACGCGCCAACCCCCCTGCGCGCCCCCCGCCAGGCAAGCGAAGGCAATGGCGGAAAAATCGACAGCGCGCGAGCGCGTGATAGCGGCGGTGGCGGCGCTGCTGGCGGTGGCGCTCGTGGCGTTCAGCGTCGCGCTCTCGCTGCGCCCCCCGCCCTCCATCGTCGACGCGCCGCTATTTCTCGACACTCTATGCAAGCCTCTCCCTCCCTGCCCTGCTCTACCATGCCCTGCCCTGCTTGTTCTCTTCCCCTCTTCCCGCATCGCCAACCCCTTCCTCCTGTGAAAATCGTCATCTGCCACTCCCGTTCCCCTCATTCACACCCCCCGAAACCCCCTTCCTCTCCTTCCCCTCTTCCGCCCCAATTCTTTACCCCCCCCCCTCTCCACCATGGCGTCATTCTTGATGACGTCACATGGCACACGTGACACGTCACGCGTCTCTGTCGCCAGCTAGCATCCAGGACATAACGTGGCGCGGCTACGCGGACTACGAGATGCGCATCGCACCGCTGCACAGACACGTGTCGCGCCCCTCCCTGCCCTTCCAGGTGCCCATGCCTTAGATCCCACCCTGCCCACCCACCCTCTGCTCCCAGTGCCAGTCCCGCGTCATGCTTCTCCCCCTCACGCCCTCGTTCTTCCTCTCATTCATTCCCCAACCCATGCATTCGCCCACCCATCCTTCCCCCAGCCCATAGCGTGCTGCCCGCACAGGTTTGTCCAATTCAGTGCATACCACCTGACGGCCTCTGTGCCCAATGCCTGCCTGCCTTACACCGCTTGTGCTTCTCCCCCTCACGCCCTCATTCACCCACCCATTCATCCGCTCCTCCCTCCTCTCCCTCCACAGCCCATAGCGCGCGGCCTCCACGGCTTCATCCAGTTCAGTGCATACCGCCTGTCGGCGCGCTCCTTTGCCATCGTGGGCTTCGGCGCGCACTTCCTCAAAGACCACCTGTGAGCGCTGGGGGCGCTGGGGGAGGGGGGTGTGGGGTGCTGGGGAGGGGAGAATGTGGGGCGCTGGGGGGGGGGGGGAGGGGGATGTGAGACGCCGGGGAAAACGTGGGAGGGTGCTCTCATTCGAGTCCTTGAAGAATTTGCGAACATGGAGTGACGATGTGATTGTCCGGGTATCACCCCAATGGCCATTGCTCACCATGACCAATCGTGTGTGTGTGCATGGCATGGCGTGGCATGGCATGGCACCAGGGGCGAGTTGAAGTGTGTGTGGGCGGAGGGTGGCAATGCGAGCAGCACGGGTAGCAAGGGCGAGGCCAAGGTGGCGTATGGAGGGCTCAACGGGTGGGAAACCTACGATGCCGTGCTCATCAAGGTGCGTGCCTCTTCTACGTGTGTGTCCCTCGCCTCGCCTCGCCTCGCCTCGCCTCGCCTTGTCTTGCCTTGCCGTGCGTTGCCTACTTATCCCGGGTGTCACCTTCCCACCAAAGTGGAGAATCTCCTTCGCCAAAACAGATCCCACCTGCTTCATTGCATGTGAATGTGTCTCTAAATTCAAACCGCAAGCCCGTGAAACGCTCCTTCCTGCCCACCCCTCTTCCCCTCGCCCGCCTGCCTTCCCTCCAGTGCGACTTCGAGGCGGCCACGGGCACCATGGGCGGGGATCTCTTTCTCACCATCGCCGGGGAGGAGTTCAGAGCCTTCCGGTGCGTACCCTTTAGTAGCCCTTCCGGTACCTAGGAAGGCCCTTCTGGTACCTCTAATAGCTCTTCTGGTTATCTGAATCGCCCGTCTAGACCCTTCATTAGCTAGCAAGCTGTTCTGGACCAATCACACCCTTTGCTGCATACCCTTCCCTCGCTCCCACCCTCCAATTTCTCCCACCGGTCCCACCTTCATGCTCCCCACACCACCCCTTCCTCGACCGCTCCACACCCCCCGCCTCCCCCCCTCTCTCCCCACCCAGCGAGGAGGAGGGCGAGGAGCATGTGATAGACCCCCCCCGGGAGGACGCCCTCCCGCACACCCTCGCCGTGTGTGCCGTGCGCCTGGCACACGCAGTGCAGCCGCGGCCCATGTTCGAGTGGCTGTCGTACCACTGGCACGTGGGCGTCTCCCTCTTCCGCCTCTATGACGCCGGCTCAATGGACGCGCACCTCGCTGCCGTGCTCGACCCATGGCTCGCCAACCAGGTGTGTGTTCAGTCGTCTCAAAAGGTGTCATTCTCCCTCGCCTCTTCTGCCTGTAGTATTCCGGTTCTATGGACACTCACCTCTCTCCTCTGTGCTCGACCCGTGGCTCGCCAACCAGACTGCGCAGGTCATCCCCACGCGGCACCTGGCGCCCTTCCGCATGGAGAACGACGCGCACCCACTCAGCGCACTGGACTGTCTTCACAGCACCGCCTTCCTCGCGCGCTGGGTCACCGTGCTCTCCCCCGACTCCTACCTCTTCGTGCCGCCGCCCGCGTCCATTCTGGAGTATCTGAAGCAGCATGAGGACCGGTCGTGGGTGACGATCGGCACGCAGGAGTGGTCGCCCGTCAAGTGCCGCGACGGGCTGCGCATGCAGCCGCCCGGCGTGTGGGAGGGGCGGCGGGAGGCGGCGCCATTTGCGGTGGAGTGGCTGGCGTTTCGGCGGAAGGATGCGCAGTGCTCGGACGAGGGGGGGGACAAGGAGACGTGCATTGGGGAGGCGGGGCAGCGGTCGCACTTCACCAACCCTAGGAAGGTGTGCTCAGTGCTGCTGCTGCTCATTGTGTTGCATGCTGCTCATTGTGTTGCATGCTGCTCATTGTGTTGCATGCTGCTCATTGTGTTGCATGCTGCTCATTGTGTTGCATGCTGCTCATTGTGTTGCATGCTGCTCATTGCGTTGCATGCTGCTCATTGTGTTGCATGCTGCTCATTGTGTTGCATGCTGCTCATTGTGTTGCATGCTGCTCATTGTGTTGCATGCTGCTCATTGCGTTGCATGCTGCTCATTGTGTTGCATGCTGCTCATTGTGTTGCATGCTGCTCATTGTGTTGCATGCTGCTCATTGTGTTGCATGCTGCTCATTGTGTTGCATGCTGCTCATTGTGTTGCATGCTGCTCATTGTGTTGCATGCTGCTCATTGTGTTGCATGCTGCTCATTGTGTTGCATGCTGCTCATTGTGTTGCATGCTGCTCATTGCGTTGCATGCTGCTCATTGTGTTGCATGCTGCTCATTGTGTTGCATGCTGCTCATTGTGTTGCATGCTGCTCATTGTGTTGCATGCTGCTCATTGTGTTGCATGCTGCTCATTGCGTTGCATGCTGCTCATTGTGTTGCATGCTGCTCATTGCGTTGCATGCTGCTCATAGTGTTGCATGCTGCTCATTGTGTTGCATGCTGCTCATTGTGTTGCATGCTGCTCATTGTGTTGCATGCTGCTCATTGTGTTGCATGCTGCTCATTGTGTTGCATGCTGCTCATTGTGTTGCATGCTGCTCATTGTGTTGCATGCTGCTCATTGTGTTGCATGCTGCTCATTGTGTTGAATGCTGCTCCCTGCTGCTCATTGTGCATTGGGTGCGGCTCATTGTGCTGCTGTCGATCGCAATGCTCCACCCGTCCTGTCCTGTCGATCGCGTCGTCCCTCCTTTCTGACGTCTACTGCACTGTCCCGCCCATCTCATGCCTCTCCCCTTCCCCTGGTCCTGTTACTTCTCGTGCTTGCACAGTATCAAGCATATCATGCTCATGGCTCCATCCTTTCACTCCTCCATGGCCTACGTTCTCTTCTCCCAATCCCCACTCGCCCATGGCGTGGCAGGCGGGCATTCTGGGCTACTACGACGTGCGGGAGACAGACGAGAACGGGCATCACGCGGGGTTCAGTGAGGTGCACAAGAACTGGTACCCCAACCTGCACGAGCTCGCAGTCTTCAACTCCACGTGCTCTGAGGTCGTTGGAGACGACGAGTTTGCCGAAGGGTGGGTGCGAGACGTTTCGTTTGCAGACTTTGTTAAGACTGTTAGGAAGAGTCCCCGGCCTCAAGGGTCGACGACGGAGGTTCCACCCCCACCAGCAGAGAATTGAGCTGCCTGAGGAGGACTCTTGGTTGCCACATGGAGTGATACAAAGAGTTTATTGTTAAAGGCAGCTGTTAACTATCCAAATGCGAATGATGTGCAGTCTCTGACTAGAGGGAAGTTAGTTGCTCCAGGAAAGGAGGTTTAATGTTTGTAAGCTGGACGGTTGCAAGCTAAATTGGATGTCACAACCGATTTAGAACATTCTAACATTACTCCTGTAAACCTATCGAGGCCGATTCTGGAGGTAAACTCTGAACAGGCTGTGCTCTTCAAGCCCACGACCTGAGGGCATTTGTGTTCTTTGTGTGACCTGAGGGGTCTGAAGAAGATCAGGGTAGGAGTTTTCTTTCCTCCAAAACAGCCGAAAAGTCGGTGATTGTGTCAGGATGAAATCGTGATTTCTAAGCAACAGTCAGAGTTCCCGCCCCGACTCTGTCATCATAGATGCTACTCATCTGGTAGAAATCGACACCCTAGAATTTCGGGTTCTTTCAATTTGGCATTGTTCTTTCAACACACATCTTTCGAGTGTGGTTCGCAGTAGGAAGAGGTGCCCACTACACGCGATGCTCAACCCCTGTGCGCGAATTTTCTCTTAACCGGATGGAAAGTCTGCACCCGTGTTTTTTTATTAGCAAGTTGCACTCACATTACAAGCCCCTCGAGCAAGTTGCAGTGGTTATAAACCAATACGAATCACAGAAACCGAAGTCAAACAGAATAGACCGAAGTCAAAATGTCAACGGGCAGCTACAATCTTTTTATAAGCCTTTTTTTCAAGGTGCGACGTTGACGAAATTTGCGAAATTTTGAGAATCTGTTAAAGTTTTCGATCACAAGGCAAACTTGGGTTAGTCAAACGAGTATCGTGTGTATACCACACCACACCATACCACCCTTTCACATTGGCTCCGTACCGTCCCTCACACAGACACTTGCATCCCAGACGCAACTCCACCCGAAGATCGAGGACAGCGAGGTTAGGAATCCTTTCCAGCACAGATAGGTTCGTACAGCTGGCAGACTTTGTCCTTTAACAGAGCAGCCACTGCCTGCCAACCGGTAGCCAGCTGGACAGCCAGCCACAGCTCATGGGATTTCCGAAGAGCAGAATTCTTGCGTAGCGTAGCGGAACTTTCGTCTCCCCTTTCCTCCCGGCTGTCCCAGCAACAGACAACTTCCCACTTATGTCGTTTTCTGGCACAATAACAGACAACCCGCGCAAAGACAAACTCGTATTGACTTGGATTTCGCCTTGCTGGTGGGCGCCCGCACCGTCATCCGTGCAACGGTGCGATGTGCGACTTGACTGGGCTGTGGTGACCCTCTCTTGCAACCCTGGCCGCGCGTGCGGTGCTGTCAAGCGTGCGGCGCTAGTGACGTGTTCCACCCACCAGCTCCGTCCTTCAGCTCTGCTTGCTATGGAGGTAGTTTCATTTTGCCCCACCGCACCACAATGAACCGCATCAACTCCCATAGGACCGCGTTTCGCCACCCGGCGCCTGAACGTCACAATCGGATGTCGATCTTCTCTCAACTTATTGTAGGTCTGCTATCCTTGAGTCTCAGCTCGTCACTTCTCTCTCTCTCCACTGTTCTTCCGCCTCCCGCTCACTGGTGAAAAACAAGTTTTCTTTCTCTTATGCCGTGTTGGCGTCACGATAACAGCTCGTGGTAAAAGAAGAACGGTAGGACTGCTAGATCCTCGTTTGAAGACAAGAGCCATGATGACGAAGCTACGAATCGAAATTCCCCAAGACGGTGACTCATCGTCAGAAGCCTTTGACAGCTTAGGCAATACTTACTCCATTGTCGACTCGTATTCCTCCGAATTCGATGGATCAGATGCCACGACTTCAAAACTCGTCGCATCATCCCACGGCGGCAGTCCTGTGGACTGGCACGTGCGGACGGCAAGCGGGTCCCTCACGTGGATGCCGCCGTCGCCGGTTGCCGTTAAGAGCCCGCACGCGAACGCGATAAAAAAAATGGCAGCGATGGCGAACGGACGCGCCAGAGCGATGGAATCCGCATGGGCGGAGGCGGAGGAAGAGGCGGAAACGGTTCTTGCGGCGGCCGCCGCTGCTGCCGCTCTTCCATGCGATTTGTCTGAATCCTCGCCATCTCGTTCGCACAGCAAACCAACGAGCCTCTTTGGCTTGAAGGCGCCGTCGTTCCCGCTAACGAAGCCATCTAGAATCACACGCACCAGCAGCGGAATTGCCGGGGCGAGCGGCGGAGTATCTCCTGACGGAGTGACGCGCACGTGGTCGATCTCCTCGCTGCCGTCGATTTGGCGCAAGTCGCCACGCGGCTCGCCGCCGAAGGGTGCCACTGCAAGTTCGGATATGACAGGTCATGATGAGGTTAGCCCTGTTGCTCTCGCCGGCAGCGTCGAGCACCAATCATCGTGTCGCAGTGTGAGAAGAACAGATCGTGAGGCATTCGCGCGAGACGACGAGGCGGCTACGCAGTCCTGCTTGCGTCAATCGCGGCAGTCGCAGCAGCGCAGAGTACGGCGGCTTTTGCGGAGCCTGACATCGGACGGCGCTCTGTTGGCGGGCTTCGACGCGGACGAGCCGCCGCCGCCGAACAAGGAACAAACCATGGCGGCGAGACGCGCTCCCGAGGCGAAACCGGCGGAAAAGGCAGATCCAATTCGAAATCAGCATCGCGGCGGCTTCCGTGCGCTCGTGCGCACAGCGTCTGCGCCTGTCGCCGCCCGCGCGCCGTCTTCCCTTCCCCGCATAGCAGGCCGTGATGAGCGGCGCGAAATGGACGGATATACGGACGAGGCGGAGAGACAGAGTGCTTCAAGGCGAAGCTGTGTGGTGGCGCCGGTGGTGGAAGAGGAGGAGGAGGCGGAGGACAACGACGAGATTCCAGTGGCGGTCGCAGCGGCAGCAACCGCGGGCAACGGCAGCTGCGAATCGCGACACGATCGAGGAGCGAAGGACGGCGGCTGTCTGCCGCACGCATGGGCGCACATGCACGCGCGCCCCGCCTTCATGCACGCCGCACACGGCCCGTGCCGGCAGCGGCAATCGCCTCCCTCGTTACAGTCACCGCCTGTTGAGTCACATGCACCGCAGCAGCGGCAGGCGTCGTTGCAGCCTCGGCGGCAGCAGCAGCGGGCCCGATCCCGCCTCCCTCCCTCTCCTTCCCCGTCGCAATCACCCTCGCCCTCCTCATCCACTGCCGTGCCTGCGTCGTCACCTCACCTGCCTCGCCCAACAGCCCCGCCAGCACCGCAGCGCGGCAGCCAATCCATGGCGCAGCGCGCTTCTGCCTCGCATCCCCTTCACGCATCCCTCACCCTTCACCACGCGCAGCCCCGCGTGCTCATCCCCTGCCTTGCCTCCTCTCCCTGCGCCCACTCCCCATCCCCCACACCCCCCACGCCCCCCACTCCCCTAACGCCCCTCACCCCTGGCACGCCCTTCACGCCCCCCTGCCTGCAGTCCTCGTCCCCCTCCTCCACCCGCAGCCACCAGGCTCGGCGCGTCGCCTTCAGTCCCGTGGTTCGGGTCCGAACCTACTCGCTCTCGGACCATGACTGGCCGGGGCCCCTTTCCCCTGCCTGTCACGCTGCTGTCTCCCCCGCTGGTGGGGATGGCCCAGGAATGGATGTGACTACCAGGGCTGTTGCTGCTGCTGCTGCCGCCGCCGCTGGTGCCGCAGGTGCTGCAGGTGCTGCAGGTGCAAGTGCATCAGGAGTGGGAAGCAACGATAACGATACGGACATTACGGACAGCAGCAGCGGGGAGTCTGAACCAAAGCTGCAGCCTCTCCTTCCACCGCATGAGGTGGCTGCAAGAGCGGTGAAGAGTGTGTGTGTTCCCCGGCAGAGAGTTCCGCTGCAAGCCTGTTGACGCCACCGCTCCACATAATAATGCCGCCGTCTCCTCACACGGCGGACAAGTGGCAGGCTACAATTACAATATATGCTGGGCTGAGAATTAGCCCTTAGGATCTTTTCAAGGCTAAGACCTTTGAGTAGGACTGTTGTAATTGTGGAAGCGTAAATAAAGTTTACTGAACTACCTTGCACTGGTATATGAGAACAAGATAAGTTGGTAATAGCAGAGAGATACAAAGCTTTATATGATTACAAAGGAATATGAAAGGTTTTACTTTTAACTGTTTTGCTATTGCGGTTCGATATAGTGACGACTCGGGTAATTGCTCAGTATCGAGTCAGTTATGTGTCCTTGCTGTCGCACTGTATTTTTCGTCGAGTCAAAGGTCAGCAACCTTTGACCTTCGCGTAACCTCCAGCGGTTTCTTTTGTTGACTCGTGTGTTGCTTCGCTGTAGCCTGCTCCGTTTCGTGTCGATACTTCGATACTTCAGAAGCGTTTAAGTTACTTGTTTCCAACAGTATACATACATGGTATCTATGCAACGTTACTCTGATGTTTTCCCTTTTCTGTGATTAACCCCTGGTGCACAGACGTGCTAATTGTTGGAAACAAGTAATTTATAACGCTTCTGTCGTATCGAAGCTTCAACACAAACGGAACTGACTACAGCGAAGAAGCACTCAAGTCAACCTTCGGAAGTTGCGCGAAGGTCAAAGGTCTCCGACCTTTGACCTGACGAAACGTACAGTGCGACAGCAAGGACACATAACTGACTCGTTACAGAACAGTTACCCGAGTCGGCACTGTATCGAACCGCAACAGCAAAAACAGTTAAAATAGAACTTTCAATATTCCTTTGTAATCATATAAAAGCCTTGTACTTCCCTACTATTATCAACTTATCTTGTTCTCACAAACTAGCACAAGGTGGTTCACGACAACTCTTCATTAAACACTTTCGCTATTACATCTCTACGTCAATACCTGATCTTAGTCCTGAAAGGATCCTACTGACTTTTCTCAGCCCAACATGGTATGAGAGCAAGGCAGGACAAGATCACTCTTTAACTTTTTACAATACAAGTCATGGCTACACACAAGGAGAGGAGCTCCTCCAACGGATCTCTCGGCACCACCCCTACTCCACCTCCAGTCTCCGGCCTACAGACAGAAGAAGGCACAAGACCAGCTGCAGAGTCAACAGAAATCCCTGGAAATCAAGCGGCAGGCTTCGACTCAAATATGATGGAGAAATTTTTCTCCTTCATGTCCTTCTACGAGCAACACCAGCAAGCAGCTCCTGCGCAATCAAACAACAGCAACAACAACAGAGCAATACCAATGAGTCTTGATGGTTCATCGTACGCGCGCGGAAACCATCAACAACCTACCTTTGCCCCGTATGAGCCTCAGCGCGGCTCTGTCAGTCTCGCGCCACAGCCGCAGCCTTCACCTGGACAAGAGAAGACACTGGATGCGCTTCAGGTGCAATCGCAATTCGCACACGTTCTCAAATTACAAACTTCAACGCTTTTCGACGGGAAGGATTTCTATACCTGGTCCTTCGAGTTTGAACTGATGATGGAGGGCGCACAAATCCTCGGATTCTTCGACAAGTCCCTGCCATATCCAGTACACGGGACACCGTACGACAAGCAACAATACACGTATCAGTCACTGATGGCGTATACAATAATTCTTCGAAACTTGACGCCAAACGAGCAACAGAACATTCGCTCCTATCGAGGTTACGGCAACTCCGCCGAACTGGCTTACGACCATTTGAAGAACCTGTATCAAGCAACAGACAGCGTCAACCAAAGCCATCTCATGGCACAGCTAACAACAGTGGAAATGAAACCCGGCGAAAAAGGAATGGCTTATATTAGCCGTTGTCGCGGACTGCGCGACAGACTCCTTCGATGCGGAGGATCAATTTCGGAAGAAGCCTTTGTAACAGTCATCATCGCCGGTCTTGGCCCTCATTGGCGCTCCACTCGAGCACTTCTTCGAGCTCACGGGAAGATCTCCGAAGCAGCACTCTGCGCCGAAATTCACGCTGAACAACAAGACATGGACCTGCACGAAGAACGACACAAGAAGAAAGCATTAGCACCGGAGTTCGCCTTCCACACTCAACGACGCTACAACAACAACTACAACCGACACAACAACCAACAAGTACAACAGTACGTCCCACCGTTTTGTCATCTTTGCAAGACGTCCGGTCATCCGCGCACACACTGCCCAAACCAGCAGCAGGCGACAACTTCGCAACGTCAACTTCGGCCTTCGAGTAGTCAAGCAGCTTCTACAGAAGCGCATCCCACCAGTCAAGTGCAACTTTCAACATCTTCAACATCGCAATCTGCACAAGGAACAAGAAACATCGTCAGCTGCATGAAAAGAACGACGGACTCCTGCATCACTGGATCACCACCCCACTACTCACCAGAAGACCAACTCGACGAACGAACTCCCCGCCGCGAGTCACTGGAGCCCAATCCGACATATGCAGCTATCGCCCAAAGCGAGCCGTCCGGGCAAGACACTTGGTTGTTGGACAGTTGCTGCGGACAACACATGTGTTCCTCGAGCCGTTTCGTCCAGCAAAAGCATCAACTTCAGCGCGAAGTCGTCATCACTGTGGCCAACAACCAGAACCTGCACACACGACGACAAGGCGTAGTACAACTTCAATCCCGAGAGACTAACGTCATCTTGCAAATGTCGAAAGTGTTGATTGCAGAAGGACTTGGCTACAACTTACTGAGCGTCAGCCAACTGATGGCTAAGGGGATCCATCTTGAAGCAGACAGCACCACACAGGAGTTCAAGCTTTTCCACGGTCGAGGAGGGCTCTACATCGGCAAAGCAGTCTTGAAATAAAACGTCTTCGTCCTCGACTTTGTACCAGATCAAGGAACGGCCGACAGCGACGGCATCGTCAACTTTGCCTCCTGGACGCACCCACCGGACCTCGATCCTGCCTTCAGCCCCGGAGGGTTCTGGTATTCACATACCATACCTGAAGCAGAAAGAACACGGGCATTAGCAACAATCCGACAAGAAGAGACAACACCGACAGCAGCAGAGACAACAGCGGCAACACCAACAACACTTACAACACCACTCGCGAGCTCATCGACGGCATCACCACCCATCAACGACACTCCACCGACTTCTGCGCAGCAGCTAGCTCCCACTCCACGAGAAGTTCACAGAAGCGCCAACTTCACCGCCGCCTTTTACTCCAACTCCGACCTGTATAGGCGCTCACCCGGACATCGAGCAAGTGAGTCCCTGTGGCACGAACGACTAGGACATCCAAGCAACACCACGTTAAACAACACAATCAAGGCAGCAGTACTCGACAAGGACTCACTCCTTCTACCCGACGGCAGAGAACTCCAACGAGTCCGCGGAACATGCTTTACCTGTCCCGAAGCCGACTTACCGCATCAACCGTTCGCCTCTCACCACAATCCAAGTGCGCCAGCTTATGAACCACTCGAGAAAGTATACAGCGACATTCTGTATACTCGCGAACAAGGACAAGGCGCTTATAATTACGTAATCACTTTCATCGACGCCGCCACCCGTTACGTCTGGCACCTTAATCTTCCAAGTCGCGACATGGCCTTCGAAGCCTTCATCGCCTGGCTACCTGTGGCAGAACGAGAATCAGGAGCAAAGCTGAAAAGGTTCCAATCTGACGGAGGAGGGGATGTTGGAAACAACAGTTGAAAGTTAGAAACGAGAAAGAGGAGTTGCACTAGCAAGCAGTTGAGTACATATAGCAAACCCTAAGTTGGGCTGTACTCACTATTGAGTACCCCACGACAGGCTAGACAAATATAACATTCTGACACACCCCCATAGCCAAAGTGGGGTGTAATCAGCACAACAAGCAAAGCAAAACAAGCTCAGGGTGGATCACAAAGTCACCACACATTCTGAGCACAAGTAGAAGAAGTAGCAGTTTATAGTTCACAAATACAATCAAAGCTAGAGGCTATCACAGAGGGCAAGTGAGGAGGAGAAGGCTGGACTAATAGGAAAGGAGAGAGGAGGCAACGGCGGAAGCTGCAGACACACGGGCAACAGGAGCGGCGCGCACTGTGGCTACCGGAGGCGCACCTCCGGAAACAGGAGTAACTGGCTCCGCGGCTAAGACGAGCGGCAGGAGCAACGGACCCACGGGCGACTGGCGCAGCAGCATCACTGGGCTACCGGAAGCGCACCTCCGGACTACTGGCAATGCTGGCAACACGACGGCTACTTCCCTTCAACCTCCCCCACTGTCGCACCCCCCTTTCACACACCCCCTGCTGCACCCCTAGGTTCACTCACACTCCACCCCCTAGCACCACTCCGTCGACTCACACACACCCACCCCCCTCAGCGGCAGCTGCAGCAGTGGGAGACGGAGTAGGAGGAGGAGCAGGGGATGCCATACACCCGCCACCCAGCTTTCACCCCCATACTCGCTACCCCCAAACCCCAACACAGGGTAGGGCCGCGACGAAGACGGGGGCAGGGCCGGGCAGGGCAGGGTCGGGCAGGGCCGCGACGAAGACAGGAGGGGCCGACGCGTGGCCCCCGCGCGGCCCCCGCCAGGGCGCCGCGACGGGCGACGGGAAGTGGGCACGCGCAAGCCCCCAAGGGAGCCACTCTGGGCGACGGAAGGGGGGGCTGCGCGGGCCCCAATGGCGCCACGACGGGCGACGAGGGGGCCGCGCACGAGCCCCCCGAGGCGACGAAAACGCCGTGCGCCCCGGGGCGCGCGACGGGCAGGGCACCGCCGCGCGCCACGGGGCGCACGACGGGCAGAGTAGGGCGTCGCGCGGCCCCCAGGGCGGCGCGACGGTCAGAAAACCGCCGCGCGCCTCGAGCGCGCGGCGGGAAGAAAAATGGCCGCGCGCCATGGGCGCGCGGCAGGCAAGCAGGCAGCGCGCGCCCGAGGCGCGCGATAGACAGAGTAGCAGCGGAAGATAATGGTGGGCCCATGCACAGGATCGACCCAGAAGGGTCGACCTGCTCTGATACCATGTTGGAAACAGCAGTTGAAAGTTAGAAACGAGAAAGAGGAGTTGCACTAGCAAGCAGTTGAGTACATATAGCAAACCCTAAGTTGGGCTGTACTCACTATTGTGTACCCCACTGCAGACTAGACAAATATAACATTCTGACAGGGGAATATCAGTCACAAAGGTTCAAGCAGTACCTCGCAACACGAGGCATCAAACGACTCATCTCGCTTCCCTACGCCCATCAACAGCAAGGCGTGGCAGAACGGATGAACAGAACCCTCCAGAACACCATGCGCAAATTACTGCGTGGCATGCGACTGCCCAATCACCAGTGGCCTGAGGCGATGGACCACGCTGTCATGCTGCACAACTTGCTTTCATCGTCATCACTTCCGAACAACGCATCACCGCACCTGCTGTGGACAGGAAAGTTGGGCAACACAAAAATGTTACGAGTTTTCGGGTGCATGGTACAGTATCGCCCACACACTGCAAGAGCCGGAAGATTTTCTCAACATGCACAGTGGGGACTACACCTGGGCATCGAAAAGCATTACAACGCATGG